CAAAGGCTTTAGATAAATCGCAGAAGACCCCAAGAGCATTCTGCGACTTTTCCCAAGCATTAAATATATATTTTAGCATAGTGGCACCAGCATCAGTTGTGGAACGGTTTTTAGTGAAACCGTACTGCGCTCTGTGTAAAAGTTTATTAATGTTAAAATGAGTCAACAGTTGTTCTAACATTATTTTTTCAAAGATTTTACTCAATGCTGGTAGTCCTTCGAGTCCTTCCTAACCTCGAGTCCTTCGTTACGCTCGCGATTTAAATCGTCACCCGCGACAGAAGACACTGCTTTATCCCCTTGGTTAATAATCTACTATTAGTCCATCGTTTAGATTATCAAAAAAATATAGGCACATATTTTTTATTTTGCCAATCAACCAAAAAAAATATAAATATTTAATAAATATTTCCAACACTCACACCAATTCACCTACCCAAAAGTAAGCACTGTAGGCTTGTGTTACGGGATACTAGGGTAACGGATAGAATACATATACTGATACATATATAAGAATATTTCAAGCTTCACAATTTTTATTCCAAAACCTGAAGTCATGCGACATTTCAAGTCAATTTAATCTATGTAATATTTTGATTATGTGAATAAAAGAAAAAATATGTATACACCTTTTGATAAATCTATCTCTTAGACGAAGAATAAAATTAGTGTACGGACTAGACATCTCAAATGTTCAATTTCTTTTCTAAAATAATTTGGTTATTTTATTAGTTCACTAGTGGCCCGCCCTAGCTTCGCTTCGGTGTAGAGCTGTAGTGTAAATTAAAATGACTCTTCATATTATTTAAAAAAAATTGTGTGTGTCAGCTCCGACGCACGACTGGAGTTTACTCCTTAAGTTCGATAGTCTAACCAGACGCAAAAAGAGTTTATTTAATTTAAAAAAGATTAATACTGGATGAAAGGGTAAATTAACAAATTAATGAAAATAATATACATATATAAATATATATTTATTCATTTCATATACATTTATTATAACTAATCGACGAAATATTTTTTACAATTGTCAATTTCAGATGTGCATAAATATATCATTAGGAATGTTGATAAATTATGTAATTATTATTATCAGACTAATATCATTTTTTTTTTAATATTTATTGTCTGCATTATTAATTACAGTGACAGGTGGTTTATGGTTATTAATGTCAATCCGTCATCTTTGTTTGTCAAAGTTGCGCGACATAGGATGCGCACCAAAAACGTAACGAAGTCATTCATCGATAGATTTTACCCCTCACATTTTTCTCATTTTTTTATATATACAAATCGTTTCTTAAGGAGTAAACTCCAAAAAAACCTGAAAATGGTATATTTCCAAACATCTATTGACATCACGTTACACACATAGCGGAATGGAGCTGGAGTGACGCTCGTAGCATTTCAGCCTTCACCGTGTTACCCTCCAACTTTCATGCTCGTCAGGAAGACTCGCGCACGCATCCCATATACACACTCACATATATATATATATATAATCGTGTGACGCCCGTGACGCATTGCAGTTTAATTTTTTCCATAGGAGTTTTCAATTCACAGCCCGGCCGAAAAGAAGTTTCAATTCCAAAAGTTTGTCAACAATACGGATATATAGAAAAATCTGTAGGCAATCGTACAGAGCGAACACATTAAAGAAATAGACACAGCGAATGTAAAACAAGGCGGTGCGGAAGCGAACTCCGTCGAAACAACATTTAAAGCGAGACTTAAAATTAAGCCCCTAAGGCCCGCGACAATACACCGCCGCCGGTTTAAAACCATAACGTACAGCGGGCCTAAAAAGTTTGGAAACACAACAGCCGGGCGCGTTAGCACCTCGTAAAATAAAAATAATGACACAGCTAGCGGCGGCACTGACTCCATGGAGCATTGTACACTTGTAACTTTTCGGGTCGCGCTTTATTAATCGAGGTCCGCTCAGCAGATGATTTTGGGTTAATGTTAAAAAACATTTTTCTAAGAGAGGTAGCGATGGAGGGCAGATGAGCGCTCATTTACAGAAGTGACCTCCAGCTTACAGGACACAGTAAAATAACACTACCTTCTGATGACTTGGTGGCTTCACGGGGTATTATGCCCAAAATGGTAGAAGACAAGGAAGCTTGGGAGGCAGTGTCACCTTTTAGTGAGGGAATAATGCTGCAAAGAGAGAACGACGAAGAAGAGCCTCAGAGAGGCGGTTCTATTCTTGGTAAAAATTTAAGTCACATTAAAAGTGGTCACATTAAATCCAATAAAGTCATCTGTATTAATAGAAACATAAGATAGCATCGAAGTATCTTTGAAATAATAGGCATAGGCATGATTATTCATACCGGTTAATACTGAGTGAAGATAAAACAAAAGATGTCACATTTAACATCCGTTACCCCAGTGCCCCATAACACAAGCCTACAGTGCTTACTTTTTGACTAGGCTAATTGGTGAGAGTGTTGAATATATATACACATTTATGTCATATCCTCCTTAGACTTTCAATTTCCGCATTATTAATACGGTAGAATTCAACGGGATCATTGGATCTCACATTCACAATCAACAACAAAGACCTGCTATAAGGCATGAGCTTGAATTACGAGCGTTAAATCTCATTGTTATATGACAACAAAACTAAATCATCGCGACAACATTGGAAAACAAGCGGCGTTCACCTGACTTAAATAAATGATGCATTGTTAGAAAATTTTCAACCCGCGTTCAGTCTAGCCATAAATCATACTTGCGCCGCGAGTTACTAACAGGTTATTCGTTAAATCGCTTCGTCTGGAAGCGTTCACATCATAGTGAAATTGGTGGAAAATAAAAGTGCTAAAATTATGTCTGTACACGAATCCGGATCGAAGGATCAAATTGTAAAAGTTGAATCTATGAGCAACCTCTTTTTAACTGACTTTTATTCTACTACTAGCGGCCCGCCCTCGCTTCGCTTCGGTGTAGAGCTGAAGTGTAGACTACAGTTTTTGTTCTCAGGCTACATAGATGAATGTCATTGTGTATAAATACAATTATACACAATGACATTCATCTATGTATCTTCTTTTATCTGCATGCAAAGTCTCAGCCCGATCGGTTTAAAATTGACAAAGCTTAATACAAACTTTCATTCCCTATTTTATCCCCTTGGGGGGTAGAATTGATCAAAATCCTTTCGTAGCGGATGCCTACGTCATAACATCTACCTGCATGCCAAATTTCAGCCCGATCCGTCCAGTGGTTTGGGCTGTGCGTTGATAGTTTAGTATGTCAGTCAGTCAGTCACCTTTGGGTTTTATATATATAGATACATGGGTTGCATTCATGAAAAAGTAATTCTAAACCATAAAAACAAGGATTAGAATAAAAAAGGAGCCATAACTTTCATCAAAGCGAATTGAAACAGTCGCGAAAATTTCCAGCAAATCCGTTATGGGGTAACACGAAAATGTATTTTAATACTCCAATCCTTCGCAGTAAAAACTCCAAACTCAGCATTCGGGGAACATGAAAAAGTGTTCCAATGTCGCTCGACCAATCCGTCGGTCGGCAATGGCTTTATCAAAAGTTGGACATTAGTAGCAGATGTGACCGCGTACTTTTTTCGTCCCTTCTCGACGTATAATAATGAAATGGATTGCGAACACATTCATTATTTTTTAGGAGGGTACGTACGCGATGCGGGCCATAACGAATCTGAGATGTGGAGTGAGAGTTTCAACTTTTTTTTGTTATCCCAAAATGCTGGGTTACGTCGAGCCGTATAGGACCTTTTATAAAGTCATGTTGGAGACCTATGTTAGATACGAATGAAGCTTTATGGAAATACTACTGGAACAACAACGTTACTTTATTCTTTTTTGGGAAATATAGTAGATGGGTTTTCAAATGACAGTATAACATTGATAAAAATATAGTAAGTCTTAGGCCCGTATTATAGAAAGACTCTCAGTAATTAATCTAGTCTTGAGCATAATTAGAAAGGGATGTCACTATATATAGCACATAGCGATATCCCTTTCTAACTGTACTAAGTAAAGATCAACACTTAGTTGTCATTCTGTAGTACGGGCCTTAGATTTATGATGAGATTTTTTTCTATTTCTTTATATTTTATATTCTAAGTAAGATGGAAATAATTTTTAGGGTTCAGGAATGGGCTGGCTTTAGATAGAATAATATTATTCTATCTAAATTATTAGTAACTGTTAGAATATTTTCTTATTTTATCTTTTTGCAGTATCTGTATCGATAACACAACATTGAATCATTCAGTGAATGAATCATTTTCCTAAACTGGTCAAGTACAAATTGGAGTCGCAAACCGTGGGTTCCAGAGAGATTTTTATAATTTTAATAGACGTTAACTAAAAAGTAGTGATTGACTTTTCCATATAATGTTTTATGAGATACAGCCTATTCAACGAATAGAGAGCGTTAAAAATTACAAATATGTTTCTTATACCCACAGCAATTAGCCTAGCCCCAAACAATATTACCTCATTCTCGCTCTGTAGACGTTATTACATTATATAAAAGAAATATGAAGAAAACACTTAATTTTATTTGAAGAATGACCAGCTTCTTGCTCTAACTAAAGTTCGTAGCTGGTCGAGGTAGTGTTTGGAGCTAGGCTAATTGGTGTGAGTATAAAAAACATTTTTGTAATTTTTAACGCTTTCTACGTTGGATAGCAGGAAATTTTCAAAAAATTTTACAAAAGTTCTGCATCATTGTTGAGGCATAGATACTTTTGTAAAAATATTCGAGTACCATGATTCAAGTACTCTTAATCTTCATCAAACATTTGTATTGGAACACTGTATCTCAGCTCAGAGAACGTGTCGCCTTGAAAGTCATTATAAATGCCACTACTAGGTCGTTAATAATTATGAATCCGTTGCCACCATCTTGGAACAGAACCCTAAAATTGAAGTGGCTTTATCTCAAGTGTTTTAAAATATAGAAACGATAAATTGAATAGTCGCTGTCATATATCAAGCACTTGGCTCTCCATTCTATTCAAACTCTAACGTTGTCTCAACAACTTCGCGCTACAGTTTAATTTTTTTATTCCCATAAAGACTAATTAAAATTCTGTTGATTTTCAAAATGGGCGCTTTTTCATACACGGTCTTCTTCTTCGCAGTTTTATGCGTGGCTGTGAACTCTGATGATCTCCAAGTTGGCACAAGCGTCAATGGAGTTCTGGTACATGTAGAAGCAGTGAAGTTATCTAGTATTCCATTGAAAGTACGAACAAAGAATGTCTTCTATAATGACAACAGCACTATTCCCAAAGTTATTAAGGTATGTTTATTTTTTTACACGAAGACCAATTTATTTTATTCTCAGAAAATAAATAATAATAGCAAAAGCTATAATTTCTAGTTGAAATAAATCAAAATTGTTTTATCATCATCATCAGCCTATTAATGTCCCCACTGCTGGGGCACAGGCCTTCCGTATGGATGGAATAGGGAGTTTTGGCTATGACCCATCACGCTGTTGTTTTGTCAAATTGTTTTACCTAACCTAGTCTTTAGCTTTGCAGCTAATAATATACGTTTATTTTTTACTTAGTATTTTTTTTGTGGGAATAAATTAAATATGTTTTCATCCCACCACCTCGGAAAGTGTAATTTTGCGCTTCGAAATCTGGCTGGAAAATTCTATTTTATTCGCTTGAGCGGCAAAGTAGATTTGAATTTAGAACATCACATATAATGAGTACTCAATATAATTGTAAATTCAAAACGTCATTAAACCTATTTAATGTAACCTCTATGGTGCCAAATTTATGATTAGAACTTTTTAAATTGTGAAAAAATTTAAATTTGGAACCTTCTTGGTTTCTTTGTTTTATTTGCGTGCTTCGCGCCATTCTAGTTTTTCACGTTTTATTGCTTAAATATTTTGTCATTATAAATTGTTTTCTTTTTCATTTTGTCATTTCCTCGCTGAGGTGGGATGAAAAGTTACGTATTGCACTCGAGTGGAAAGATTTTTCACCTTGTGCTCGTTTGTTTCCCTCGCTGACGCTCAGGATTCTAATTTAGAATCACTCGCTGCGCTCGTGATTCAACTTTAGAATCCTTCGCTTGCTCGGTCATCCAAATCGAGCACGCGGTTAAAAAGGAACTTTCCACTCTTGTATAATAAATAACTATTCTTTAACTCTACTGATTTATATTCGCCATCAATAAGGTTAACAGAATGTTAATTTTGGAACACTTCCCACAAGACATCATTGTGCAATGTCCATACCTTGAGTAATCAGTAAGAATTGCTTTCTAAATTATTAAAGTTGCTCCCGATGTATCTATAAATTCTAATTCTATTTCCGCAATTCAAGTCACTTTTACTTGTATTGAGGACTAGAAGCGTCTTGCGGTTTGACCCGTATTAAATTGAGGGAATAGGTCATAGTGGGTTACCATTAAAAGATAGACATTATGCTGTAGTGGACTTCTTTATGGAACTAACTAATGTGAATTTGACATAATTTTATATTATGCTTCATTCATAATTGGAATAATTGTAATAAGTTTTTTTCTTCTCAACATGACAATTAATTTGCTCACCCCATTGGGTAAGAATATAGGATGCTCTTTATCTCTGTATCACCATTTGTTACCATATTGTGAAAATAAAGATGATTATCAATTATAATTAATTACTAGCGGCCCGCCCTCGCTTCGCTTCGGTATAGAGCTGAAGCGTAGACTACAGTTTTTGTTCTCAGGCTTGTGCTATAAACAATGACTTTATTTATATAATTACACGTGTTATTGTGAGTCAACCATAAAGGATAGACATATGCTGTTGCGGGATACTTTTTAGACAATTTTATGTAGAATATTTCCGTCATACATGATTTCTATGTAACTTTAACCATTAAGGCTGCACACGCGACGGAAGCTTAAAAAATGGAGTAACTTCTCCCGTTTTCCCAACATTTCCCTTCACTACTCTGCTGCTATTGATTGTAGCGTGATGAAAAGTATACTATAACCTGCCCAGGAGTATGAAGAATAATTGTACCAAGTTTCGTTAAAATACGTCGAGTAGTTTTTGTTTCTATAAGGAACATACACACAGACAGACAGACAGACAAAAATTTAAAAATTACTGATTGCATTTTTGGCATCAGTATCGATCACTAAACACCCCCTGATAGTTATTTTGAAAATATATTTCATGTACAGAATTGACCTCTCTACAGATTTATTATAAGTATAGATAAAAAACAGATATAAAAAAAAAACGTTAAAAGGAAAGCAATAATGTCATACATGATTTTTGTGTAACTTTTACTGTTTACGCAGCGCACGCAACGGAAGCTTACAAGTACAAGTGGATTTTTTTTCCCGTTTTGCAACATAATTCGTTGGTGCCCCACTCCTAGGTATAAGTCGTAGCGTTATGTCATATAGCCTATAGCCATCTTGGATACATGCACTATCCAACACAAAAAATATTCAAATAAGACCAGTAGTTCCTGAGATTAGCGGTTTCAATCAAATAAACAACTCTTCAGCTTTATATATTAGAGATTATTATAGATGTGTCTGATAGTAAATTTGTATCTTTCAATTGTCCGTAAAAACTGACAATTGATAATGTATTTATTGATATTGTTATCGATTTGAATTTGAACACTTGTTTGGTGAAGTCAAATGACACAGAATTCGTTGTCCATTCTTATTATTCAAGTGGATTGATATTGTTCAAGGCAAAATCTAAAGTCTTGTTGGAAATTCAAAAAGTATTCGATTGCTTTCATTTATAATTTAAATTTTAGGCAGATAATAGCTTCCATAGGTGAGTTAATACTGGTCGATAATATCAGATGAGTTAATGCAATATCTGTTTTTAGTATATTAAGAATTAGAACGTCTACAAAGTTACACACTGCTGCAATTTAATACATAATATTTCTATTCAAATAGGATTCATTATACAACTCCTTTGAATCGTCCATTTTTTCCCTACCACCCGTTAAGGACATATTTTAGAAAAACGGGCAAAAATACTTTACAATGTCAAATCATGAAACGATATTTACGAAATATCATATTATTACAGTGTCAATTACAAAATTAGGTCATATTTAGCATAATGATATAAAAACAGCCTTGGAACATTTGGAACAGTTTCAAAGCAAGCATTTTTGTCTGAAATATAACCCGATACCTTACAATACGCTGTATTTATAAGATTTTTTAATAGAGCTTTAAATTTATTGACGCCCAATTGTTGTATAGTGTTAGGGTCTATTTTTGAAGCGTACACAAAGACTTTTAAATTATTTATTGATTTTATGGAGCCTTGTTAGTTGGTACAGCTAAAATATTTTTATTTCACTATTTACAGGAAATTTTATTATATATTAATAGTTTTTTGAACACACATTAAATTTTCATAAAAGTACTGAGACGCAAGTGTCATTATATCGATTTCTTTAAAATTTTCTATTAAACAGTCTCTTGTCTTTAGATTGTAAATTGTTCGAACAGCACGCTTCTGCAACACACAAATAGTTTGAATGTCGGCAGCATTTCCACACAGAAAAATATGACATAAATACATTGACATCACACTATGAAAATAACTAAAATATGCTAATAATACAATATGGTATCTACTGGCGTATGTTCATTACTGCCTTTGCTGCAGAATTTAGTCTCTTAGAGAATTTCTCAATATGTGGACCCCAGTGAAGCTTCGAATCTTTGTAGTTTTTTTTTATTTTATTTTAAAATAATAAATACGTTTTCTTAAATCTGAAACAGTTTATTTGCTCACACTATGAATATAAAATCAAAATGTTATTTTCTTTAAAATTATATGTCTTATTAACAGAGTATGTTAATACAAATCCAATGAGCCCACACTCGACATGTTTACTAATAGCCAATCCAAGGTTCCATCAGCCACCTTCCAGTTCCATCATCAGACCAGCTCTGTGGTACCATAATATTATATTGTCATCTAATCTACATATATTTTTGCCAAGTTTAAAGTAAATCTGATCTCTTAAAGTTGGGCAAAATCAAGTCCAAATGAGTCAGTTACATACATACAAACAAACAAACGTACAGGTGAAACTAAAAAAAGCGTGTTAAAAAGAACAATTTTATACTCTGCTGTTGTTCTATATAAACGACATAGTGAAAAACTAGACATACTAAAGTCATAATTTACAATTTATTAAACCTTCACGCTGGAATTCATAATACAGTACTTTGAATAGCCAGTGGCTAAATTCAAATTTTTACAGTAAGCTGACTTTATTGGGGACTTTGTATTCGACATAGGTAGTTGGGAACCAAAAGATATATCTAAATGTAAGGTGAAGGAGTCACCAATTAACTGATGATTGAGCCGTCAAATAACGACGTAATGGAAGTTTTTGAAGTTATACTTCTTTAGGCGCGTTATGAAAAAATGATGAGAGTGAAATTTTAAGATGCGCGCGCATCACTGTAACACAAAAATTAACAGCATGAAGTTGGCTTTAGCGACCAACTTCATGCTGTTACTTTTGTGTTTACCGCACATTAAGAAAATCTACCAACAAAATAGAAATGGAATCTCTATTTAGTGGGTGCTGACGACTGCATTGTGAAGGCCTATCAAAAGTATTTATTAATCTGGAACAACGGAACCAAAGCGCGATTCAGGAGACTACAGCGCCATCTCTTGACCATTGGTGTAGTAGAACCAAAAACCACATCTTTATTTTTTGTAATAAAGTAACAGTTATAGGTATTCATATTTATAATATTTATCCACATGTTTCTAGTTTGTATATTCGGAATACGTGTTTGAGTTTCATACAAGTACAAATCACATATGTTCTAATAAATTATATTCAGTAGCGATTTTAATTGAATATTTTGATTATTTATTTATTTTTTCAAATTAAAACTGAACTTTATTGACTGTGTCCTTTTCCAGACTTTTTATTAATTAATTGTAATTAATTATTTGCATGCAATTAAAAACTAATTTTAAACGATGCCAAAGAAGGATAACTTCTCACGCGCCTACATAAGTACACGCACCCATTTTTTTTTAATATATATATATATACATAGATAAGTCCGACAAATGACTCCACCGCACCTGATGTTAAGTGACGGTGAAGTACAGATGCTAAGATAGCTGATACAGCAGTTCTACCTGCCACACCAGCCATCCTCGCCCTGCCGACCTGCATGTTGCTTCTCCACGCCTCTTTTAATGGAACCCAGGTTGTAAGAGGGAGGGAACACGACAGCGGGCAGAGCATTCCATTTACGGATAGTGCGACAAAGAAATGAGACACCAAACTTCTTCATAAAAAGTGAAACATAGAAAGGGGAAGGTGGAATAAGGGAGAATTAACTCCTCAGAACACTCGCCGTGGTACAGACGATAGGAGTATGACAAAATACCGCAATAACGCATCTGATATTATCGAGCGATAATAACGCGCCTATAATGAAATGAAATGAAAAGTCATTTCATCAGTCTAGGCAGTTACAAGCACTTGCGAAGGTCAAGAAGCTACGCCATCGGTTCGCAAAACTACGGCGGGAGACCTTGTACTGAGAAGAACCGGCAAGAAACTCAGCAAGGGCTGTTTTTTTCTATCTGTATTGTTATATACAGAGTCGTCAAGTTGAAAAATGACTTCAGAGATACGTCTGAAGTCACCTTCCATTACATCATTTAGAATATAAATATATAGTTACAATACATTTTATGGTTAACAATATATTTAGTATATAGGAAGCGGCGATATAAATATCTCTTTTAGAGATAAGCCCACCTTTACTGACTATGTATTTGACTTTGTTTTGAACTATATGATGCAATATACACATAGAGTATAATAATAAATAAATATATTATTTTTATCGGACAATAGCAGCCCATATCACTTATTAAAACAAATATCAGGAAACGTGAATTAATTTACAATTAATCATTATGAATAATTAATAAATATAACATATCATCATTTACTTTTTTACTAGAAAAATCTTTCTTTAGATTTAAACATCTAGCAGTTAAATGCTTGAAAAATAAAATAAAAACATAACTATAATTGCTATTTCTTCTTTCAAATGTTTCAAATACTTGAAAAAGTATTCATTTGACATTGTGGGTTACCTACAATGCGAAGAGATGGCGCTGCTTTGCAGCTTAAGGCTAGGAAAATTTCGACGCGGCCATCAGGGCCGTGGTAGCAAAATTGGTCAGTGCATTCGCTCGGACTGCGAAGGGTGCGGGTTCGAGTCTGCCTGGTCTTCCTTTCTTTATATCAACATTTTTTCAATAATAATAAAAAAATGTCACTATTTACTGTTACTCAGTATAATATGTACCATGCAACAATGACGCTTGTACTGACACACGATTCTGTTTGCAAACCGCCTATGAGCCGCGGAGGGAACGTTGGGAATAAAACTTTAATTTTACTAGTAAAGTTAAAATTAAACTTTTTTGTTTCAGGGTATATCAGCGATTGATTTGGACAGGAGTAAGGCCAAAGCTACAATCACCTCTGGAGGAGTTGGCGCAACCTTTGCTAACATCAGATTGAAGAGTCAAAGAGGAGATGGGCTCAACTATCAAATACAAATCTTCGCATAAGGACTCCACAGTTTTATCGATAAAAGTGATATAGAACCTTTTTGTTATACTTTTTTATTTATTTATTTGGTTTCGTAACTATTTTGAACCTAAGAATCGAACGGTATTTTTTAAAATTTTAGAACTTTTGTTTTCTGTTGTTGAAACAAATAAAAACTTTATTACCTTTACCGAAACCCGAAATGTAATTTGTGTCAATAAATATCTACAGACAATTCTTGTTGTAAGTATTAAATTATTCATCTTTTTTAACCCTTGGTTTACCCGGTGACTTCATACATACACATTTTACCCGGTGGAGTCCCCAGGACTCCCGGGTTTTAAATCGTAAATATAATAGGAAATAAACCATTTTTTTAAATGAAATGCTAGTTAAATTTGCTTTTTATGTATTTGGTTTTACATTATCTTAACTTTTTAGTTAAAATCATTCAATTACAGTATTTTATTAAGGAACTTTTAGATAATCGCACTTTTTGTAACAAAATTATGAGACCTATCTTCTAATGTCAACATTTCAAAAACAAATCAATATTATAAAGTAATCTTCAAAGAAATATAACAAAAATATAAACAATTCTTATAAAAAGTAAAAAAGAACATGGTTTGAACAAAAGACAAAAAACGTGCAAGATCTTCTAGTCACGGTTGATGTCACAGTTATTGCATACTTTTTTGTATAGCTGAGGCACACAGGCTTAGTACAACTATGGCAAATATATGAAGTCGTCTATATATGAAGTCAAGCATTTTCATCAAGGACGTTTATACAACTACGAGACGCCATTATATCAACTGAAAGTAAAAAAAAATCACAGTTAAAAATACCGTACATAGACTAAAACTGTAACATTGATACCCCGCTGGAGTCCCACGGACTCCACTAGCGTGATTACTTACCGATAGAAGCCGCGAACGGCAACGTCTGTTCTCCCCCGCACTCGGACCGTCACTCCGTGAAGGTATTGGAACGCACAATTTGTAATTCCAAAAACTAACGATTTTATGAGCGCGGAAAGTTTTCATTGGAGTCCCAGGGACCTACTACCGGGTAAATTAAGGGTTAAACTTTAAATTTATCAACAGTTAAATTGAGTGCTTTAAAAAATAAAAAAAAATTATGCATAGTAATTAATATATTTAAAGTTGATCATTTTTGATTTTTTGAGGCCTATTTAAATATGTCTTTGAATATAGAAGTCTAACTAAGGTCAATAAATTAAAAAAATCGTATTATAACACAAAAAGAGTTTTCCCGTACCGGGAATCGAACCCGAGCCTCCTGGGTGAAAGCCAGGTATCCTAGCCACTAGACCATACGGGATGATGTGTTAAGATTCGAAATTGTATGTTTTGATACGATTGTTCCAAAAAGAGGTTCATGTATGTATATAAAAAAAGGTAAATTTAATAAATCAAAAAGCCGCCTGCTTAAAACTAACCTAATAGAAAAACTGAAGAGAAAAAAACAAGTCCAGTAGCCTATAATTCTGTTAAGTAAGAAACAAAGCTACTTTAACAGTCGGGACCCATTAGGTATTCCAAAATGGATCCTTTCTTTTTTCAAAACATTAGCTGTCGTGGATTTTTTGTGGTACTATTTAAGAGATACATTACTTACTCATGTACAAGGAACTCTCGAAGTTTTTGCAGTGAAGGTCAAAATAGTTCGCAAATGGCAGATTTGTTCCGTCTTACGTGACACTTATTGCTATGTTTTTCCCAGTTCACTCAATAGCTTCATAAATTATAATCTTTTTATTATGCATGAGCTATATTATTATCAACTCTCCATTCAATTATTTTTGCGTGAAAGAGTAACAAAGATCCATAGAAACGAAAGATTGAAAATAAAAGCGCAAGTGCTTGATATACAACATTAAATCATTGTAGATCTTAAACGCTCATAAAGAATGAAAACTGATATAAGAAATCTAAAGATGATTTTCAATTTCTAGACAGTGATACCCCACTTGACATATTTCGTCATTTTTTTATTCTCTCACAAAATGGTGCCTAGTTATTGAACTAACCACACTGTATTGTGTCTCTAGTATCACTTATATGATTAAGACAAATCGATTAACATAATGAATCATCAGAATCGGTCCACGCGATTGATCTCTAGTGTGCCACAAAAGAACATACGTACATAGACTCGTAAACACAATACGCTGTCTGCGCGTCGCGCTTCGAAGTTCTGCGCGCCGCGCTGCTTGCGTTCAACCTTTAGGTTCGAGTGGTCTAGAGGCTCCAGACGGAGAGGAGACTTCCTCCGTGGGGAGATGCCATCCACCTGGAATACCTCTAGAGCCACTCGCCAATTCTCGACTAGAGGATCTCGCCGTCCCCAAACCCGGTACGCTGTAAAGGTCATCTGCGACCAACAGCATTCACACTAAAAAAAAAATGCTTGCGTGTGCTGCTGGGTAACAAAAATGCTACAGTTGCATCACAAAATCCATCCTATTCGGAAAATAAAACTTATTTTTAACCGACTTCCTAAAGAAGTAAGTTCTCAAATCGTCATTATTGAAGTTATACTTCTTTAGGCGCGTTATGAAAAAATGATGAGAGTGAAATTTTAAGAAAACCAACTTCATGCGTTACTTTTGTGTTTACCGCACAATAAGAAAATCTACCAACAAAATAGAAATAGAATCTCTATTTAGTGGGTGCTAACGACTGCATTGTGAAGGCCTATCAAAAGTATTTATTAATCTGGAACAACGGAACCAAAGCGCGATTCAGGAGACTACAGCGCCATCTCTTGACCATTGGTGTAGTAGAACCAAAAACCACATCTTTATTTTTTGTAATAAAGTAACAGTTATAGGTATTCATATTTATAATATTTATCCACATGTTTCTAGTTTGTATATTCGGAATACGTGTTTGAGTTTCATACAAGTGCAAATCACATATGTTCTAATAAATTATATTCAGTAGCGATTTTAATTGAATATTTTGATTATTTATTTATTTTTTCAAATTAAAACTGAACTTTATTGACTGTATCCTTTTCCAGACTTTTTATTAATTTATTGTAATTAATTATTTGCATGCAATTAAAAACTAATTTTAAACGATGCCAAAGAAGGATAACTTCTCACGCGCCTACATAAGTACACGCACCCATTTTTTATTTTTTATTGTTTTTCGCACGTATCTCCTAGGTTTGTTGATCGATTTTAATGATTCCTTTTTTGTTTGAAAGAATTTGTTAGCGAAATGGTCCCATAATATTTTGTTAGATCTTCGCCCAATAAATACGAAAAGCACATTGGTTATTTTATGAAACACTAGCGGCCCGCCCTCGCTTCGCTTCGGTGTAGAGCTGAAGTGTAGACTACAGTTTTTGTTCTCAGGCTTGTATTATACATAATGACATTCATCTATGATTCTTCTTATACCTGCATGCAAAGTCTCAGCCCGATCGGTTTATAATTGACAAAGTTTCATACAAACTTTTATTCCCTATTTTATCCCCTTGGGGGTAGAATTGATCAAAATGCTTTCTTAGCGGATGCCTATGTCATAACATCTACCTGCATGCCAAATTTCAGCCCGATCCGTTTAGTGGTTTGGGCTGTGCGTTGATAGATCACTATGTCAGTCAGTCAGTCACCTTTGAGTTTTAATATAGATGGAAGAGAGATCGCATGTTAGACATCTATATTTAGTAAGTGGATGTTGGTTTAGCTTATAAAAAGTGAAACATAAAAAGATTTTTAAACAAAAAATAAAAAAATACAACTTTAGAATAACAAAACCACTAAAAAGTAAGAATTTATACATAAGCTTTACTTTTTATCTACATAAAGTCAAAGTGAAACTCAGGTCTACGGTGCATTTGACTCTAAACGTAGATATATAGGTAAGTAAAGAATATACATTATTTATAGTATTAATTTTTAAATTAATTGTAGGTAACAATGCGAAGAAATGGCGCTGCCTTGCAGCTTACGAATGGCTAGAAGTATTTCGACGCGGTCGTCAGGGCCGCGGTAGCATAATTGGTCAGTGCGTTCGCCCGGATTGCGAAGGGTGCGGGTTCGAGTACCTGGATTTTTTTCTAGTTATATTTTCTTTAGATTTATACATTATTTCTTTCTGGTTTTATTTTTATGACATTTTTTTTTACTTATGTCAAAAAAATTTGCTTTTAATAATCATGACTTGCCTCAGTTACACTAACGACGGAACGTTACTTGTACGTAACATCAAACAAAGTTATGTTACTACACAAACTCGAAATAAACTTGGTAATGAAACCTTGTTACCTTCGGGGCAGGACCTATGCAAATGCAAGGTCCGAGGAGCCAAGTTTTATCGTATATCGGTCAGGGCTTGATGACGCGTTCAAAATGGACTGGGAGTTTCACCGGTAAATAATTCATCGGAATGATTGAGCAACTTGAAATAAAGTGAATTAGGTGCTGATGCTTATGGAGGAGCTCGATGGAACAAGTGGTTAGCAAAGACAAAGTCAAAAAATCTTTATTCAAATTGGATGCACAATATAACTCTTTTGAATCGTCAATATTTTTTTCGTGCCACCAGTTAAGACCATTTTTTTAGCTGTGGTGAAAATCTGGCGAAAATAACTTCACAGCGTTAAATATTTATGTAACAATATTAAAATATTATATTGTTACGGTGTCAATACAAAATGATATAATTTTTATCACAATTACAGAAAAAGCCTGCCGCAACGTTTGGATCACCTTAAACCCAAACATAATAATTATAAATTATTATTATTATTATTTTATTTATAAATATATTTTTTTTGACGCATAATTATTGGATAGCATTAGGGACTTCATTACAGAAGCGCACACAAAGACCTTTAAATGAATTATTGATTTTGTGGAGCCTTGTAATTGGTACAGCTACTTTATTTTTATTACTAGTGTTAAGCAAGCGCTTATCACTATTTCTAGAAAATAATGTAATATTCTTTCGAACATACTTTAAATACAATTCATTTTTCAATATGACGATATAATAAATATAATAATACAGGGAGAAAAAAACAGCCCTCGCTGAGTTTTTGCCGGTTCTTCTTACGCAGTAGCTTTGCGAATCGATGGCGTAGCTTCTCGACTTTCACAAGTGCTTGGAACTGCCTGCCTAGACTAAATAAATGATGTTTGATTTTTATTTACATGTCCAAACTATTTTAGGAGTCTAAGTTCTAAGTTGTTGTAAAAATCCTTTA